TGCTGATACCTGGAATTAAAAAGAAACGTGATAATACAATGATAAGAGTTTACCCCCACTCTTCTCAGGGATAAATACAAAAAAATCGAGCGTACAAAAAAAAACAGAATTGTAGGAAATTTAATTTTAAACAACTTTGTTTATAACAATTTTTCTCGTAAAATTGAAAATAAACGAGTTATTCTATAACCAAAAATTCACCCCCTCTTTTCGGGTATAAATCGAAAAAAATCGATCGTACAAAAAAAAGCAGAATTGTAGGAAATTTAATTTTAAACAACCTTGTTTATAACAATTTTTCTCGTAAAATTGAAAATAAACGAGTTATTCTATAACCAAAAATTCACCCCCTCTTTTCGGGTATAAATCGAAAAAAATCGATCGTACAAAAAAAGCAGAATTGTAGGAAATTTAATTTTAAATAACTTTTGTAAAAACTATTTTCCGTGTAAAATTGAAAATAAATGAGTTATTCAAGATACAAAAAATAACCCTTTAAATCAAGCTGGCGGAGGTAACGACAACTTTGGAATCCCAACTTTTTGAATTTAGACTACCACAGACCCCCTCCAACGAATTCCGAAGGAAAATTGCTGCTTCGAATTTTTCAGAATCTCAAGCCTGTTCTTCACCTAATCCGATTGGGCTAGATAAGTATTCTATGTTGCCTTTCTAAAGTGTTTAAAAAACTAATTGATCTGCAAATTAGACATTACTTGGATGAGTTTTCCCTGCTTCCATCTTATCAGTCTGGTTTTAGAAAAGGATATAGTTGCACTACATCACTTCTAAAAGTCACTGATGATATCCATAAAGCCTGCGATGATAATTTATTGACTATCTTAGTCCTTCTCGATTATTCAAAAGCATTCGATCTTATTAACCACAAACTCCTACTAGCGATCGTGCATTATCTTGGATTTTCAAGAAAAACTACCGCCTTAATGAGTAGTTATTTAGATGAGCGAACTCAAGCCACCGTGTTAATTAAAACAACTTTTGAATTTTTAAACATCTGCTCTGGGGTTCCTCAGGGCTCAATTTTAGGACCTCTTCTATTTGTCATCTATACATCACAGCTGCCACTTGCTCTAAAATACTGTGCATCTCATACTTATGCCGACGACACTCAACTATACTTTTCCTTTGAAAAGAAAAATATTCAAGAAGCTTGCGTAAAAATTAATGATGAACTCATCTCTCTTGCTAGACTTTCTGACAAATATTGTTTAAGTATAAATCCAACTAAATCCATAGTCCAGTTATTTGGACGTCCTACAGCTAGAAAAAAGATTATTAATTATGTGAACATTAGCTTGGATGGTCAACAACTGCCGCTTCTTTCATGTGTTAAGAATCTAGGTATTCATATAGATAATTCACTTCGCTTGTCGTCTCATGTGACAAATATTGTAAGAAAATCCTATAGTAGTTTAAAACTCCTATATGCAAATAAAAGCATATTGAATAAACGAACTAAAGCCATGTTATGTGATTCTCTTGTCCTATCTCACGCCAATTATGGCGATGTGGTCTATGGACCAAGTTTGTTAGGTGTTGATAAAACTTGCTTGCAAAAAATACAAAATTCGTGTGTACGTTTTATTTGTGGACTTTACAGACGTGATCATACTAGTCAACACTTAAAGGAACTGGGTTGGCTTAATATGGTGGAAAGAAGAACATTGCATGCATGCTCAATGTTTCGCAAGATTATGGTAACTCTAACACCTGCTTACTTATATAATAAAATTCAATTTCGCACTGACGTCCACAACCTTAACATTCGTTTTAAATCTAAACTCACGCCGCCTTTACACAAAACAACCTTATATCAAGGATCCTTTTCATATTATATTTCCTGGCTTCTAAATGGATTACCGCTTAGCTACTCTAAATTTTCTCTTGGTAAATTGAAACATACATTAAAAGAAGACTTTTTAAATGGCAAACTGCGCAATATCATTAAGTAATACGATAGGATAATTTTATTATATAGTATAATTTCATTATACACGTTTTTCCGTTCTTCTATTAGCAATTTCTCACCTAATATAAATTGTTTTTCATTATTTTTGTTTCTGTTATACTATGCCAAGTTTTGTAACACCCTAGTTAAGATTATATGTATTTTAAGTTAATACTTATTACTTTAGATATAATTTTAGTATTAGTTTTTCTTTTTCTATTTTGTTTTCTTTAAGTTATTGAGGTTGGGTTGAAGAGCAGCTTCTATATTTGCTTATGCAAAGCTGAAAGCTGAACTTTGCCTTTTGGCTAATTATTTTTAATAAATTATACTATTTTAATTTTGTAATTTTCACATGCCAATAAAACCATATTTATTTAATTTATTATACTAAAATTATGGTAATGTTCCATCCCAAATACCGCTAAGTCTGACGATTAACATGACCGCTTAGAAGAAATGTAGATTCATCAATAAAAAAAACTATTTTGAAAAACAATAAATCTGTTTTTTTTTGTTATAGTATCCAGAAACTTTGTTTCTTGGGAAGTCGATCAAACAGTTATAAAGGCGATCCAAAGCACAATTCACTAGAAAGTATCTACTTTTATTCATCGCATTTAAATCTAAAAAATCTGGAATGTCTAATAAAATCATTATAGGAATTCTTTTTCGGTTTCCTCAATAAGAAACTAATTATGGTTACTTTCCGTCTATCAAAGTTTATACAGCACTGAACGGAGAATTTAAAAATCCATTGTATAATTACCGACGAATTAAATATTCCAGTCTATTTCCAGAGAAAATCCCAGCTGCAGAGGTCAACGTGATCGGAAATCTCAATGAAGGATTTTAATTATTACAAAAGAAATTCAGTACTGTGTTTTGTTATAAGGAACATTTATCGTTTCTGCTGGTTTTGCAATTTTTTATTGAATATGTTTATAATATTGAAATTTATACATAGCCTCTTGAAATAAATTAGTAGATTTTTTTTAATAATTTCGAATGCACCTAATCTTACAAAGTTTTAAATCTAGATATCACCTGTGTTCAATACTAGTTTTTAAAATATTGTGGCTTTATCACTTTATTTATACAAGCTCAAAAGGTTTAACTCTTTTGAGTATACGCACTAGGTTCTGATTGTCTAATGGAGAGCTTCAATGTTAATGTGTTTGGAATTGATTCAGTTCTCGGTGCAGGTCTTTATTCCGAAAAACATACCAAGGCGCATTAGCTATATTCCTAAGAATTTGTATACCGAGACCTACATAAAACCGATTGGTTTGAATACAAGGTGTAGCTGGGGGCAGTGTTAAAAAACGTTAAGATAACTCTTAATACTAAAAAGGATATAGATGAAGTTGCAGAACAACTATGGGATGCAATCATATCATATCACAATAACTGTTCATTAAAGAATAGGAAAACTTTTAGGGAGATGAGCTGGTGGAACACCGAACTCGCCAAACTCGGAATGAAAACACGTAAACTTTTTAATAAGGCTAAAAAGACGAATGAGTAGAGGGAATACATCGAAACACTCACAGAGTATAACAAAACTCATAGGAAAACTAAGAGGGATTCATGGAAAACATTCTGTCAGGAAATTGAAAATACAACTGAAGGAAGCAGACTCCACCACATTCTAACAAATGGTCCAATAAACTCTGTGGGGACTTTAAAAACCCAAACTGGAATGGAAACATTAAAACTACTTTTTAAAACTCATTTCCCTGATTTCACAACAAACTCGAATGCAGCAAACCAAACCCACACGAACTAGAACTCTCAAAAAAAGAATCTCCAGCCAAAAGTGGGAAACTGCACCTTTAATCCATACAAATCACCGGAACCAGATTGGGTACTGCCTGTGCTTTTGTAACAGGCAATAGAAACGCTGACCCCGCATATTTGTAGGCTCTACAGGGAAAGTTTGGTGCATAAACATGTACCAAATACCTGGAAATAAAGCAGAGTTATTTTTATACCTAAACCGGGGCGTCCAACGTATGCCGTGGCAAAGGCCTATAGACCAATTATCTGACGTCATTTTTATTGAAAGGATTGAAAAAACTAATTGATCGGCATGTCCGCAAAACCACTCTGATAGAGAGGCCATTGCATACAAACCAACATGCCTATCAATCAGAAAAATCTTGTGTCTGCTCTGCATCATCTCGTAGCCCAGATAGAGGGGGACTCCGTAGTTCTAGGAGCATTTCTTGACCTAGAAGGAGCTTTTGATAATCCCACCTTAAATCAATGGTAGCTGCCGCTCGCAAACATGGAATAGAAGGCACCACCTGCTGGTGAATAAAAGACATATTACACGTACGGCAAGTACAGGCACAAGTGTACGCCCAAGGATATTCCGATGTCATAATCATGTATAGAGCTCTTAGGCTGATAGAAATGTGGTGCATTAGGGAAAACATCTTGGTAAACCTTGGAAAACAAGGTTGGAGGCTTTAAAAACTCTGACTTGTTTGGAGGAATGATAAACAAAACGAACTAGATATATTCCTTGATAGCAAACTTACTTGGAACCAACACTTACAAAAAGTGACCAACAAATGTTAAATATCTCTCATTGTAGGGCAGTTGGAAAAACATGTACATGTTATTTCTTTATTTATTTTTATTTATCTACCATTTACTCTGTACTGTTTTTGTAATATTATTAAAATTGTAATTATTTTGTATGTATCGAGTAATAAACGTATTTATTAATATTAATATTATTATTATTATTATTATTATTATTAAAAATTTCAAATAGAACTAGTGTTAATTAATTGAAGTCGATTTTTAGACCTCGTCGACCTCCAAAATCAATTTTCGTATATATGTCGAACTCTTGGAAACCGATTTCGACCACAAGTGGTCAATATCGACCACTTTGGGAATCTCTGCTCTAACTTTTGTTAAAGTTAAATATCGCCAACTTATTTTTTTTTGTTGATCTACGATTTTCTATGACACTGTGACGATGCTCTATTAACGTATTTTATTAATTTGCTTTCAGGTGAACACCCAGAAGCAATGCAACACGGCGGCAATCAGCGAATGGGTCCTTCTCTGGGCGCCCTGGCGTTCATCTCCTATGTTCTGTTGGCTTACTGTTAAGTTTTAGACTCTCCTCAATTTAGTGCTATACAGCCCAGTGTCGATAATGTGCGTGTTAAATACATAACATTTGAGGAAATATTTAAATTTTTGACGTAGCACTTTAACACCGATGTGAATTTTCAGCACATTGTGTCCCTTACTAAAAATATACCTATGACTTTTGGTGTATTTTGCCTCTATGTCTACTTTTTATGTGGTAGATATGTTTTTGTTTCTTCGTTTTAAAATGCTACGTTTAAAAATTTGAAACAAACTAATTGTGGTCGATGTTGGAGTGGTACTAGCTTTTTATGTAGGGGTATCGCAAGCGGGCATCTTGGTTATTTATTTGGAGGAGCTTCAGCGTAAATTCGACTTGATTTATTTAAATTATATACTACTCTATACCGCCTAACTTTTAAGAGTAGTATAAGACATCAGTATAAACATTTTTCTTAATAAACATAAACCCTGTATGATACAGCGTTGAAATAACATAACTTTTTAAAACTTGATCCAATTTACGGTTTTTAAGTAATATAAATGGAAAATATTTATCTTGTCATGATAATACTCGAACTGCAAATGGTCGTGCTCTTAAACATTTGTAGTAATTCAACAGAATGATGTAATTTTTTATTAAAAGTTGGCATAGGAATCTTGTTGGCTAGTAAAGGCAGAGCTCATTTATTTGAATGATCATTTTTCTAATGGAATTTTATCTTATCGTCAAAAGAATTTAATTTAAATGTACACAGTCACAATATTTATTATAAGATGGCTATGTATGTCAAATAAAATAAGGGGAATGGTTTTTATAGTTCAGCAAACGTTCTTACAGTACACAAATTACATTGTGAATTAAGTTATAATTAACCCTTTTTAACATTTCATCTAAGAATCTCGCTAAACTGTTGTGTTTAGCGATAGGCAATATTTAACTCAAACGAACGTATAATTAGAGTACTTTTTAGTAGTGATATGAAATACAGGGTGTTACATTTAAAAAAATTGAGAAAATCATGTATCTGAGTTTTGACTCACTCTGTACACGTCTGATGCGCTAGGAAAAAATTAGTATATTCTTATAAAAGTAGACTGTCATTAAAAATGATTCATCAAAAAATTTTGATGTTCAATTGTTTCTTTTGAAATATACAGAGGGTTGATCCTAGTACGATTTTCATATAAAATTGGTTTAAACTTCCAAAATACCCAGTATAATCTCATACATGTTGGTAATTTCTTGAAGGACAAAGTCAGGGAATTCAAATTTATAATTAAATACAGGGTGGTCTATGTAAAAAAAAATATAGGTTTGATCAATTCTAATGTTATGGATCACTCTGTATAATCGAAAATAATTTTGAAATGTGCAGATTAATATTATCTATAACTTTTTAAATAATATTGTTTGATATTTTCTATAATATAGGATATATCGAACTTCCACACACTATTGGGACACCCTGTATAGTTGTAAAAATATTTATTTTAAAATTTGCAATACAGTAATTCTTTATAATTTCTTTATAATTGAATTTTTTGCGCACCCTGTGCAACGAAATCGAAGTTTTTTAATGTGAATCGTATTTATTTAACAAGCAAAACAAGTGATAAAGAATTACAATTTTTTTAAATTTTATACAAATACTTTAACAAGTATAATTAAGTCGCTCCCTGTAAACATTATACGTGTTAGGCATGTGACATGCAAATTATTTTTGGCAAAATTACATGCTCTTTATTACATTTATGACATACGGCATTACCTACGCATGTTCTAACGACATGCAGATAACGAATGTACTAAATCATATTCTTTTGATATAGTCCAGTCATTTAAGCTTAAATTAGGTAAGAATCTCGGAACTGGAGATACCCAGCTGTAAGTCTGTAAATACTTGTATATTGACATCCTAAAAGTTGTCTCAAAACCTACATATGGTAAGGTGTACGCAACTATTAAATTTCAAGGTCAAAGGTCACAAAAATAGTTTTTTTGCGCTTTTTTGTAAATATCTCATTTCCTATGGGTTTTTTGCTATTTGTATTTATTATCAAAATTGTAGAATACAAAATTCTCTACAAATTTTGTTTAAAAAAATTCAGATTACAGTAAGAACGTAAAAGCTATGGAGCAGCAGAGAAGATGAAACAATAGTTGTACCAGTTTCTCAAGAAAAATTCTTATCAAATCGAAATAACAAAGATATGCTCATTAATATGTTAATTGAAAAATTACAAGCTGCAAATATTACTACTAAACAAGCCAGAGATAATGCTGATGTTCTTATTGTTGAAACTGCAATTGAAGAATCAAATTCTGAAAAAACTGCAGTTATAATAGGACAAGATATTGATTTACTTGTCATTTTAATTGGGCGTACACTGTCTTACGAACAAGACATTTTCTTTAAAAAAGTTGGGAAAGGAAATGTAAAAACGGGGATATACTTGACTAAAAGTTTTGATAATTATCCTCATTCCAAAACACATATTTTATTTCTGCACGCATTAAGTGGCTGTGACACAACTTCTGCGCTTTTTAAAAAGGGAAAAAATCATTTTTTAAAGTTTTTGAGAAACTGACAAATTTGAATGAACTAGCTGCAGCATTTGAGAAAGAAAATTGTTCGACCCAGAGATTATTAGAGAGTGGAACTCAAATCTTATTGGCAGTCTATAATGCTCCGAAATCTGTGAAAAGTCTCGATCATCTTCGTTATATGCATTACGTCAAGTCTACAAAACTTAATTAACCTGTGCAGCTTTCAAATATTCCACCAACAAAAGCAGCGGCTCATCAACCTTTCAAACGTGTATATTATTAAGTTCAAACTTGGTTAAGGCATGATTTGGAACCCCAGGTATGGAGTTGGGCAATGCGAAACGATTTTCTGGAGCCTATCATGACAATTTTACCACCTACTCCAGAAGATTTGCTAAATACAATTTTCTGCAACTGCAAGAGTGGTTGTGGTTCGAGATGCGGATGCAGGAAAGCGGGCTTGCAATGCTCTTTAGCTTGTGGCCAATGTAATGGGCAAGCTTGTCTCAATGCTCTACCATATCAGAGCGACATTAACGAAGATGGAACCTTTGACCCCGAAATCATGGAAGAATTTGAGAGAAATGTCGTTGAAGACGATAATGAAGACCAGTTTGAAATTTACCAGCAGCCGGAAGACGACGATGAAGAGGAAGAAGATTATTAAAATTATAAATTGTAGTTTTTGTACCTTTTATTCCATTTTTTTACTTTTAATAAAAATAAATGTATTGAATGAAATTTTTTAATAAAAAGATTAATTCATAATTTATTTGTTTTTTTTTTCATCATGTAAGAATTTATTTATATTAATTAGGTTAAAATTCAAATATAATTCCTATATTTTCATTAACAATTTTGCAATTACATGGGCAGGTAAGTGTTGTTAAATAAATTAATACCAAATAAAAAGTGGATAGGTTAGGAAAAAAAATGATAAAATATAATATAATAGTTAATAAAAATTGACAAATATTTATAATCATTGATTTATCGATATTTCATCAACTATATATGGCGCGTTTTCGACCGGAGGCACCGGTTGACCTGAAGTGATGCTGTGACCGCGCGCTCCCCGTCACCTATCTCGAAAACGGTTCACCGTATGAAAAATTTTTTTAAACAAAATTTTTAGAGAATTTTGTATTCTACAATATTGATAATAAATACAAATAGCAAAAAACCCATAGGAAATGAGATATTTACAAAAAAAGCGCAAAAAACCGATTTTTGTGACCTTTGACCTTGAAATTTAATAGATGCGTACACTCTACCATATGTAGGTTTTGAGACAACTTTTAGGGTGTCAATATACAAGTATTTACAGACTTACAGCTGGGTATCTCAAATTCCGAGGTGAACTTACTATAATGATTGGACTAATATGCTTTAAATTACATTCCAGATCGCATATAAATGTTCTTTTACAGTCAATAATGAGCAAACACAGGCATTTCACCTAATATGCACGTGAATTTCACCTGATACTTATCATATACTTACATTCCGTCAAAAGCATATACAGGCCGGGCAACTAAATCTTTAGTAGCATGCTCTGTAACGTGCTGAATTAAATGGTGAGTTTAATTTCATTTGTTTCAGAAAGTAGGTCATAACAGAGGTTATGCTGTCATGCTTATATGCGATTTATGATCTAAAATGTATTCAAGGTAAAAAAAATGTAAATATAGTTGTTCGAGCAAAAATACCTTTTATCCTTATTCTTTATCACACGGTCTAGAATGTACTACGTACATCATTAAAAGAATGTACGCTGTCGCAAGTAAAAAGCATGTTCTAAGGATATGCTTAGCACTTCAGTGTTTGCTGGGATATTCCATTTTGGGGATCAAAGTTAATGTACGAGTATATACGTTTATTTATATAAATAATTTACTACTATATTTAGAAGAAAAGAATATGAAAAAATATGAAAAATAGACATAACACTTCAAAAAAATGTAATAAAAAAAATGTTACTATGTTTTGCTTACAGAATATGTACAATAATGAATTTAAATACTATTCAAACTTACTTTTTAAATATCATCATATTTTTTTTAATTATTGTAATATTGAAATTTAAATATATCTCTAAAAATTATAAAAATAATAAGACACGAAACAACGCCGTACATGGCTTCGAAACAACAGCTAAACGAAATGAATGTTCCGAGTTAAATGATATTTTAATTTTATAATTAATTTACTTTCGAACAACTCCGGTCTTAGGATTGGATTTCTTATAAAGTTTATATAAAATTAAATAATACTTACTGGACAAAGTTAATTTAACTCGTCTTACTTTTGCTCCAAACAATCAACAAAGGCTACTGTGTGGATTTTCTTTAGAAGCATCAATAAATTAATTAGGGTCTTACTCGAAATACTGAGAAATAATGTTGTATAAGCTGCTTCCAAAACTTATTTTTAATAGGTTTCAAAACTAAACATTAATATTTTTTTA